ATTGAAGTATTTTACCCGTTTCTTGCTAAATAAAGACTTTCTTTTTTAATATGATCATGAATAATGAGATTATTTAATGGAAGAAATGTTCATATTACACAGAATTATAAATGTTTTATAGTGATTCAAATTTACCACAATGAACAATAGTGAATATTTAATCATTTGTGTGTACCATATTTAGGCAATAAAAGCAGATTTGCATCATAGCGAGAATGAATAATTGGTAACGTTGGTTTTCCTGAAATTGTAATTGTAGAATTGTAAAATCTGGAAAGCACAACAGTTTCGCACCAAAGCTTCGGAAGAAAACAAAAACAATATCCTATTTGTCACTTTTTACTTGAGGGTTTACCAATAAAAACAACCTATGCTCGAATTTGAATAATCCAGTTTAGTTGAATGTAAAATAATTAATGCTCATTATGAATGCGTTCAAGAATTGCGCCAAGTCAACAGCTCGGGTTTTTTCCAAGATTATTTTCAATTATTTAAAATAGACAGGGCAGTTTCGAGTGATCAATCATTTTGAAAGGTGTATTGAATACAAATGATTTCTTGTTGTGAGTCACAATACTTGGTTTGTCTCTCATATAATGTTATCGGTAAAGGTATATTGCAAATATCGCAGTAGAAAGGGGTATCCTACCTTATAATAGAACACTGTAAACTGTCAGGGTGATTTGATATATATACTTTATCTGGACGAAACGTTTCTGACTCTTCCCAATATTTCTCATCCATATGGAAATTCTACAGGTTACACCATATTCATGTACCCTTCGGTATTGCGTACCCACCTGTATTAGATAACAGGACTTCAGCATAATTTGAATACATTTGAACGAATGATGTTCATGACAGAGACCCACTTTCGAAATGGCAGAAATGCTTTTCTCGACGTTATGTAGCACTAAAATGGCCGTCATTTGGCCGTCATCTTGAACTTGATCACGAAACACAAGCATTTGCATGTGTATGACATGGTGCAGGAGGTCAAGGTCAGAAGATGTGTTCATGTACGCTCTGTATAAAAAATGAAAAGGAAAAAGGGATAACGCCTTCCAACTTGGCACACATTTTTTACTTGTAACTTACTAGATACGGTTTTATGTCTAATATACAGAGTCAAGGTCAAGTATGTGTTTCTGAATGTTCAGTATAGAACTACAAGGGGAAACTACTGAAGATCTCACATTGGTATGTACATTGTATGCTGTGAAACGGTGCGTGCTGGGGTGTGGGTTTCAATTAAAGATGCAACATGGTCGTAAATACTTCGCTTTTACAGATAAATTAGCTTATGTTGTTCTATAAACCCAAAACACCATTCCTACAGCAAACAAGTAATTACACTGTTCAATGAAACACATGTGCTCTGATTGTTTTGGTACTTTGTACTTTGGTACGTTAACGGCACATAGGCATTTGAGTCTTTAAATTTATTATCGAACGAATACCATACAATGAGCTGCAACATAACTATTTGCAGGTTCCGATCATTCATTCTTTAGTTCTGGCCTCAGCATGCCATAATGTAAACACTATTATCATACATCTGTCACCGCAACGGCATAAGTTATGGCGTGTGTAATTTTGCGGTATTTTACGGGATATTTTCATTCTATCATATTATGAAATGCGAATTCCAAATATGGAATGATTACACACGTAAGCGTCCTCTAATAATAGAGAGGTTTAGTTACGCGTTCTCATTCAATTTACGTGTGCTGAACGTAACGTCATCATCACGTGACACATACGCGGGAAGAACGGCTAGAAGTCGCGTTCGGAACGTTTAGGTGCAGTTCTAGACGTTATTATGATTACGGTAAGTTCAAAGACAATTTTCTACAATTATGCTCGCATTCTGCTCTAAATCCTTGTTATATGTAATATTGATAGTGAATATAGACTTAATACAACAATGATGAATATTTGTGTGTTTTTATGATATAATTTCGTCATGACAGCTGGACCATCTCAGTTGGCACAACCCTGCTCCTAACATTCTGTAAAAAAAAATATGAGATTTGCCGCATGGCAGGATGTAGTGTTACTGAGGGAGATAGTCGCGGAAAATCCTTTCACTGCTACTCTAAAAGAATCGGAGAAAGCCTGGTCTGCTATCGCCGAAAAACTGGTCGACGTTGACGAGTCGTTTGTTGGATGGTAGGCGGTGCAGAGAGAGGACTTATTTACTTTTGGAATACTACAAACGACAGGATATTGCGTGCCTGAAAAGGTTAGTTAACGTTTTAAATCTGTTTTCAAACTGTTTTGGTACAACATTCATCCAAAAAAAATCGCATGACATCTTTCCAAGGGTTGTCATGCGCGTTGCTGTCAAAACAATATAATTATAAATTATATTTTCTAGCCACAATTTAAAATTTTCGATTTTTTTGAATTTCATTGTTAATTGTGAGTTTAAATGAACTTGTTCATTGCCTAAAGGTCTTAAACAATAATATAGAAACAAATATTGTTTTTTTATGTGTTGGCTATAAGCATCAGTCAAAAAATTATCACCCCTTTTTGTCATTGTTAAAAGCATATAACAAAATAAAAAAAATCAAATAAAAATCATAAATTTAAATACACATTCATAAAAACATAAAAGCAAATTGACCAGAAATATTGGTAAAAAAATTATTACTATAATCCTGTATTTGTTGTTGCAGATCTGAAACTGAAGAACAGTATAGGGAAAAGGAACAGCTTTTAGAAGAAATACAACAATTGGAAAAAGAAAAAAAAAGAGAGTTAAAAGTGTTTCAAGAGAAGAATGGTGAAAAACAAAAGGCATTAATGATAAGAAAAAGAACCATGGAAACGTTAAGACCAGCGAGTAAGTATAGTAGTACTGTGGTTTATTATAATTAGTAATGGATTGCGTATAATGTTAAAATGTAAAAAAACATCATGTTAATGTTTTGTCATTAGTGGACATTAAAATGAACAGCACAGTCCTTTATTGTTTTTATTTAATTACACAAGGGTATCTGTGTTTACATTACTTTTATTAGTCCTCAACTATATCTTGAATAATTATTTGGTACAAATAGGAGAAGATTTGGAATACTTATTTTATTCAAAACTCAAATGGAGGCCACGTTGGTTTTACCATTTCTCAGATATAACTTTGATTTGATTTTGAATGCGATAAATTCTCCTCTCAAAATGTAGGTGCCACATTTGCCTTGTATGATGTTAAACTAAATAATCAGCTAAAATTATTCAATGTTTGGAATTGTGTTTGGTGACTCAAACAGATTTTTGTTTTTGTTTAATGTTCACATTCAGTAACCCAAACTTATTTGCTCTTTTAGCTGGCAACATTGAAAATGATAATAATGAGATAACATCTATGCCATCAACACCAAAACAAACACGTCGTTCTGCTTCCATGGTTGATGTTTTGTCTTTTGATCAAAAAAGACAAGATGATGAGGCTGGTTTCCGGCGAGAGGAGATTGCTTTAAGAAAAGAGGAGTTGGAGTTAGAACGACAGCGACTTAAACTCGATAAGGAACGCCTAGAAAATGATCGAAAAAAAAGAGAAGAACATGCTAAAATTGAAAATAAAGAAATAAATATTATTTTTGAATTACTTAAAAAAAAACTCTTAGATTAATTGTTGTGTTTACTTTGCCCATTTGAGATACATTTTCATATTGGTAGTCTAACGTTTTATGTATAATTTTCATTTCAAATAGTTTGAATTGTAAAATTTACCGATAATTAAGAAAAGAGGAGTTGGAGTTAGAACAACAGCGACTTAAACTCGACAAGGAACGCCTAGAAAATGATCGACAAAATAGAGAAAAACATGCTAAAATTGAAAATAAAGAAAGAAATATTATTTTTGAATTACTTAAAAAAAACTCTTAGATTAATTGTTGTGTTTACTTTGGCCATTTGAGATACATTTTCATATTGGTAGTCTAACGTTTTATGTATAATTTTCATTTCAAATAGTTTGAATTGTAAAATTTACCGATAATTAAAAAAATGTTTCTTTCTCGATTTTACCTCAGGAATGTTTTAAATGATCTCAATGAATATAATTAAGAAAACAAATGTAGATATAAAGAATCACATAAAACTGAATAACCTTTGACACAAATATTATAGTGGTTTATTTAACACAGCATTCACTACTATGGTATATGATTACAACATAGCTGTTATTTACTACAACTGAAACATGTACACTAAACTTACTACTTCTTGAACTAAATTTCATAATATGAAAATTTACACTTATTTTTTTTTGAATCAAAATTCTCCATGGTTATCGAGCTAAAGTTTTTTTTCTAAACTCATTGTTCGCCATTGGACAAATATTCTTCTAGAGATGGGGGCTGTACATTGCTGTGCCAGTTTGACTCCCATAAATATGACAATTAGTGAGCAGTGCTCCTACCAAGTAATATTTTGCCACCGGTTGCAAAAATAATTTTAAATTCTTTCTGAAATCAAGAAAACCCAAATATCTAATTATTTTGCCAAAAGACCATTCAACACATTCACGTACTGAACTCATTTTTTGTTAAACTCTCTCTCTTCAGGAGAGAGAAGAGCGCCCTTAAATGGACATAGTAAATGTGGTCGCAAAGGGTAGGCTGTGTCACCGTACACACTATATGGGGCACCATTTGGGGCATCCAGCTGTTGAAGTTGTTCCAATAAACTTTCTGCCAACATGGCAGCGTCGTGTCGTCTATCTTCAAATGGCCCAAACATGTGAGCTATCAACCCATTAAAGGCAATTATGGATTGAAATTTAATAGCATGTATTCGTTTATGTTCACTGAAGACCTGTTTCTGGTAATGTATTGGTCTTGATATAGGTCGTGCTGTACCATCTATAAATCCCCAACAGTTGGTGAGTGGAGAATCGCGTTCATGAATCGCATTGCAAAATAACTGCAAAGATTCAGGTTGTAACCATATGGGTATCAAATCGTCCAGGCGATTTGGATAAACCAGCCTTCTCAGTAGGACGCATAAAGCTTCCACTCCAGTTGCCACAGTCTTTTATGCGGAATTTTCAGAGCAGACTTCAAACGAAAGAGTTCATCTTTCTCAAATATGAACATAGAAAGACATTGATTATTGGTTAGTGAAAGAACATCAATTCTGGCACCATCTGGAGTGGGAACTGTAGATTGAGAAATAGAGGTTGCGAACAGACAAAGATCCTCATCTTGTAAACCTACAAAAGTAGATCAATGATGTCAATTATCTCTGAAAATAGTATACAAATACAGTAACAGATTCATTAAATATTTTTGATCCCTTGTTTCGCGAACCCGTCGAATGAACAGGAGCCAAAAATGAAATAAAAATAAAATTTTATTTCAGCGTAATTTCTCGCGCCCGCCGAATTGTAAGTGCAAAAAATTACTAAAAAAATAATTTTTATCTTCATTTTTGTTTCCGCTCGCCGCGTAACAAATCCAAGTTGCATTTTTGTGGGAGTATCATGATCAAAGTACCGAAGTCTTTCGCAGATGAGAAACAAGATTATACATGGAATAAAACTTTATTTCATTTCTTCTCTCTGATCAATGATCTCACTTACAATTTTTTGAGAATCACACAAATCTAATGAAAAAAAAGAATTAATTTTTTTCCGTCCTCCTAAAAAAATGTGCCATATAAAAACCCGAGAAACAAGGAATAAAAAAAGTCTGGCCTTATATTTGTAAACACAATTTGTACATGTAGTTGAAATCCAATTATCTGGTTTCATTAGGCAATGCAAAAGTATGAATAGTCCACAGTCAGTTGTTATATATTTTCACTAAAATAAGAACTAAAATCGTGGAATCCTAGGTTCAAAATAAATAGCTTTATAAAACGTATGTTTCTTAACAAATTTTTAAGTAATACGAATTTACAATGACGGACAAATATTCAGGAGTACATAAAATACTAGGTTTTTATGCCGAAAAACAAACAATAGGTAAGTTTTATATATTCGAATATATACTAGTTTTATTGTAATTTGTCATTTATACTTACCCAAGACAGCAAAAGTTGGCAATATTTCACGGGACCGTGCACGCTGATTGCCGTCAAATCACAGTGTAGTGGCGCCCTCAGCGACATACGGATATACGCTTTCTTTTTAAGGTTCGCGTGTTACAACGCGCAACTAAACTCAGACGCCGAAACTGACAGTACGTGTACGGGTAGACCAGACGCATGGAATCACTTACGCGTAATTACGCGTATCTAAACCTCTCTAATAAAAACAAACATGAAGCCACACAAAGAAGTTTGCTGATTTTGTTCTAAACATTTTGAATTTCCGTATTCCAATGGTGTATCCTTGGAAGGAAACGCATAGACCTCCGCTGCGCGTCGGTCAATACTCCAACTGTACTGTCTTCGTGCATACTTATCGTACTAACCTAATAATATATAATATGTGTTTTATAATAAGCCCTTCTTACATCTTTCATCACTGTATCAAAATAGATGCTCCCAAATAACACAATAACTCGATGCGCAGTATCGGCCATTTGTGTGTGGGAATTTCTGATTTCTAAACACACTAGTTTGCTCGTGACCTTAAAATAACTGCACTAACAAATGTCTATGAATGTAAATTGGATGTCACCTTGAAAATTTCAGTTCTATTGAAAAACTCATTTTGTGAAATAAGCATTGTCATGGCAATGCACACTCAGCTGGTCTAGTCCAATTTATTGTAAAAACTAAAGGCCTGTTGGGCTGTTATAGAAAAGTATATATTTACACATAATGCAAAACATACCCACAGACGTATCCACAGTAGTAGTATGAGGTATGGCAAGCGGTACAACTGTTCTTATTCGCATGACCTCGTATATAACGGCTTCACAATATGGTAGTTTGCCTTTATCAGATAACAGCGGCAGACGACCATCACCAATAACGTCATCGATTTCTCTCTGTACCTTAGACTGCACGTCAGGGTAATACGTTAGGTAAGCAACGAACCAATTTAATGTGTTGATTGTGGTATCTAATCCCGCTAGGAAATGAGACAAGACCATACTAATCACCGTTGTACTACAACATGCGTGATAATGTGTATAACCTTTTTACCTCATTGTGTATGACATCATTAATATGCCAGGTTTACATTAATTAATAATTAATTGATTGGTTTTGCAACATAACTAGTGATACGCATGTTTCAACCCGTTCAATAATGTATTTGGAGCTTGAATATTTGAACATTTATATGGCCAAAAATATCTGTTTCGCGCGTGCAACAATAGGGTATCCAAGAAAAATAGAGAGAGAAAAGTAAGACACATCGCGGTAGAACGCAATTCACACAAAAAACGCGTTACGGAAGTCAATACTCTGCCGTAGACGACTATTATATAATAACTATTATCACACTCATCTCATTACAAGTAGTACTGTTTCACAACGTCTTTATGTGCATCTGATACATCGTATTGAATCACATTTATAATATTAGTTTTGTTTTACGTCATATTCTCAGAATAATTTTGGCCCAATAGTTATAATTGTTCGCATTTTATATAACCGAATTGTGTGCGTGAACGTGCCTGCGAATATATCAGACACAGTTTGGCGTATATTGACATCTGTAAGTTGTATGGTACGATCTCCTCCAGCCGACTCGGCTTCACGCTGAATTGATAAGATGTCATCGATGAGACTTTCAACATCTTTAAAATACAATTTTTTCCGAGTGGTTGATGCACGCGGGGAATATTAACAATCACACAATTTCGATAGGAAGAAAGAGAAAACACTATGATAAAGACCTTCAATTTTCGACATTGTGAAATTGTTTTGTTTTTACGAATTAAGAAATTACAGTGTTTTTACCATGTATATGTTAAATAGAAGGTTCAGAAATAATATAAAATAATATAATATATATAATAATAATATATAATAATAATATAATAATATATAATAATATAAAATGAACGAACTGAACAAAGTGTAATTGTGTACAAATAGAATGAATATTTTTCACAATACATCGGGTTGAATCACGTGAATTGCCAGTAACACACAAACGAATGAAATAATGAACCCAGAAATAGCCCACATAATCAAATGATACTTTACCTTTTTCTTTATGTTCATCAATCTTACATTGGATTATTTTTAACCATTCATTCACACGTTTTTTCACTTCAATGTGTCCAGGAGTAGGTACATAACGGAACATTGGAACAAAGTCAGCTGTTATTCCATTACCTAATGATTCACTCAGGTCATTCAAGACACGCATACACTTCAGAAGTTCAGGGTCCTAATACTCGTATCTGTTAGAGTACAACATCTTTTAATTTCATGTCTTTTCCAAAAGTATCTTTTAGACAATGTTTTGCAACTTCTGTGTTGCTACAGCATTGTCAGTGTTACATTGCCAGGAATTATTTACGTTACACTAGGCCGCATGTCGCTATTGTATCGCTGTGCAATTTAATGCGATTTAAAAGTAAAGTGATCATATAATAAGAGGTTCAATATAATTAAACAGAATTGAATAAATATTAGTCACATCATCGACTTACCTTTTTCCAAAACACATGGAAGCTATGATATTACCCACAAGTAGGAAAAGTAGTGGTTTCGGAAGGAATGGTTTTCCATTGTTTTGGGAGACAGCTCTCTGGAAAGTAGGAAAGGCTTCACATCGTATAAGAGATTCTAGCTTTTCGCCGCTAGCATAATTTCTATAATGAAAATAAAAAAGGACAGACATGTTGTAAATGCCGGAACAATTTATATCCATCATGTTAGATGCACAATAAGAAATAATTCGCTTTAATCATTTATTGACGGTTTAGGTCGAGGATGATGCAATAGACTACTAGTCTTGTACCAAACAATTCAATCGTCGATGCAAACAATGGAGGATACAAATCTTATAAACCCACCTAATGGCTTGATGACCTATTTTTCGCTGGAGTTTCCACTTAGCAGTGAAGTCACCAAATACAATGTTTTGACTCTTTTCTGACATCAGACTTGACACTGTAATGTTTTGTAACAAAATGATCTTATGAATATGCGCAAATGCTAAAAACGTTGACCTTCGATTTAATGTCTCAAATTGAAGCCATTAAATCGTCTCAGTTTATTTACTTACATGAATAAAAATATGGTCTCCCAGCAAAATCATTCTGTTTCTTGACTAATGCTTCTTTAATAACATCTATGGAGTTGAGTACAATCACAGGCTGACTGCCAATCTTCATTGTAAATACATCTCCATATTTCTTACCATAATTTACTAGAGTTAGGTGGGGATCGTTCACCAAATCTAATAAATGAAACGATTAAACCATGAATATAATGTTGTACGTAACATAATGGTCACATAATAACATAATGTTGTTAAGACTGCCAATCTTCATTGTAAATACATCTCCATATCTCTTACCATATTTCGTCAAAGTTAGGTGGGGTTCCTTCATCAAATCTAATAAATGTTGTTAAAGCTGATTATTATTCAACTTGTTGAAAATAAGTTTACGATTGGTTATAGCCGGGATTTTTTTTCTGAAATAGCTTCAACTTTATACTCCAAATGGCTGCCCTGAAAATTGTTCTGCATTTTTTTGCAAGCGATTAGCAGGTATAGATTACAATTCAAAACTTGCCAGATGACCAGGAATGGGGACAAATTGTGCTTCGATGTGCTTACTTCACTTATTTGCATGAAGCAGAATCTCTAAAGAAATTAGTTCAAAAAAAAGTTCAAATAGACCAAATCTTTCAATTTCACTTTCAGATAGACTGATTATACTATGATTGATTCCTTCCATCATTACTTTTAGTTTCATTACTCAATAGGAAAATGAATTGAAATCGTCCACTGCATAATTCTCACTCTTAGTATAGACTAGAAGTATTTTGTCGATCCTAATCCAAAATTCAGGAAAGAATGAATAATAATGGAACAAGTTCTTTAATCCCCAAACTATAATGTGACTCTGCATAGCTCACCTTCGAGCTAACATATAGCACTGGAAACGCAACAACATAATACTGCAACAATACTGCTTAAAATCAGGAATAAACAATATGGGTTCATTGCTCATGATATTTTTCAGATGTTCAAATTCCAGATACATAGCTTTCAATCGACGAACGAAGTTCGTTTGTATGTTCAACAATGGTAGTGAAGTTTGGGAGAATTCTGATAATACCCAACCAGGCCTACAAATGATGTAACATTTGTTAATGTCAGAGCAGATTCACAGAGCATGCTGCAATGTGCAAACTTTTCCTGTTTCACTATTTGCCTGAACTTTGAGCTTATTAAAACAAGCATAGCATTTTGTTGGTTTAGTCATTAAGCCCTGGAGGCGATATAGTAAATTCTAGAATCTCTTCAGATGGGTTTGCCAAGTCTTACTCTATATCACGATGTCAGCCACTAAATACCTTGTCGGAATTAATTGTATGTGCTAGAAGCCTTTAGTGAGATCGAGTTTGGTCAAGTAATTGACTCATCATCGACGATTGGTATCCTTTTGAGCCTCTTGAATCCATAGAAATTGAAAGACCTCCATCCGGCTTCCCAATAAGCACAATGAGCAAGCATTAAGGTGAATCAGACCTGTCAATGAACCAAGTTCCACCACATGTAGTTCTTTCATCACTACATTATATGTTGCAATATTGGTCTCTGTATGGTTTTGAATGAATATGATCATGCAATGTCATGAAAACCAATGTTAGTCTTGACTAGTATTTCTGTAAGTGTGGAAGTATATTTTCTCAATACTGAGAATCAGTACGTTCAGGGCACAAATGTACATTCTGAATGGTTTCTTTTCCTCGCAAGTGAACTAATTATTTTAAGTCCACATAAAGCTGTCTATGTAATAGGTAATATGTGAATTTTCAATTAATCAAGTAGACACAAACATATATGTATGCCCTTCGGTATATATCAGTCCAATTCATTCTTTAACATGATAGCGTCCTTGCCATTGCATCCATTGTTTATAGAAAGCAACAACAATACCACCTCATGTTTGTCAAATGGACGTGCTCTGTTCTATCTGAACCACTTTAACAAGTGCCTTCCATTTGATTTCGTAGGTAAATGACGTTCATATGTATCCTTAATTTCCAGATTTGTGAACTTTTTTATTCATAGCTCCTGCCAGATGGTCATCGCAACTTTCACTGTTATCCCATATGGCTCGAAAGGGGAAAATGCCAAGCTGGCTTGTGGAGCTTGGTTCATGTCTTTAGGTCTCTCTCTACACATGCATATTTTCTTCTTGCCGCTTGTTCAGTCCTTTCTTTTTTGAATATCAATGTATAATAATCCAACAACTTCTCTCCCTGAATTTGTAAATCGGCAACTGTCGTAATTTTATAATTTTGCAATAGCAAGAGGCACTTTGGTTATTTTTAAAAACTGGATTTACGAGAACGATAACATAACAAATAACATTCAAGATTGTTACCACCTCGTGTGCGGGTTCATAACCAATTTAATTTTAAAATTACACAATTCATATAACGGGAATAATTTAGACTGATAGACATCAATATAGTTTAACACAGTTGTATGCATATATAATTAGAAACAATGTCAATCCTACACATACATGCATGAGTTACGTGAAACCAATGTTTATTAGGTACACAGGTTATCTAATGTGCATAGTTTTAGTTGTTCACTCCTGCAACGATTTAAATGCGGGCATTACCACGGACAAACACGGACAATACCCAGTTACTAAAATGTAATGTTTCCAACAGAAGAGAACGTACACTATAGCAAGGTTGGTAACAAGGAGAAACGACATTTCGTATTAGTCATATATACATTTGTAATATGTTACATAAATAAACTGACTACGAAAATAATAATTATCAATTAACACCTCAATATATTAACTGAAATCACAAAACCAAAACGTGTATGTGTAGAAATGTTGGGTATTTTCCGACATGCGTCGAATAGTATTAGTCAGCGTCATCGGTGGTGAATTTTAGGTAGTCAGTGGCGTGGAGTTCATAAATTGAAGCGTCTAATTCCATCTTCGTAACTGGACAACCAGGCTTCCATCTCAGTTTGAATTCAGTTAGTGGATTTGCTCCCGAATTTGAGGGTCACGCAAAAAGTAGATCTCAAACGGCAGCACCCATAACCTCGCTGTCTCAGGTTTAAATAACAATACATTCAATCATATTTGTTTCCTAGCATATTTTTAAACTATTTTGGCCAACTTATTTTTCTCTCAAAAAAATCAAAAAATTCCACAACGATGGTAGACGACCATCACCAATGACGTAGATTTATTTATACTCTTGAGATTGTACATCCGGATGATACGTTAGGTAAGCAACAGCCCAATCTAATGTGTTAATCGTGATTTCTAATCCCACTAACAGGAAGCGACTTAAAGAGAAAATTCTCACTTACTTCTCAGAAGCACAAGAGCAAAGATTTTGGTTTTCCAACCGAGTATGAACTAAATGCTGAAACAGGCAATGTATTCAGACAACAACGAAACATTCACTCGCATGAGCCAATTCTCGACATTCTTTGAAAAAAACTGCCACTGCGTCTATATATTGGAATTAAGATTCACACAGAGACTCTGTCCTGCCTTACTTCGACGAGAATTATTCACTGTTGGAGCACTTGACAACTTGGATTACAATCCATCGGGCACTGAACTGAGCTGAACGTATGGCGTATGCTGGTCAAGTAATGGAAAAAGAAGAAGTGGAAATGGTAATAGTGTTTCATGCTTCCAAACAAGGTTCGTTAATAGATTTTCATTCTACTCTCACACAACTTTTGCCTCTTGTTTTATGAGAAGGCAGATGCATCAGCTATGATCAAGCATGGAATAAATGTTGTGAATTGTGCTTCAGATGCCTGTTGTAGTAGTTGCTGCACCATTTTATGCACTAGCTAAGTTCACTCAATGGAATGGGCCTGACACTCACTGGGAGGACAAATGCATGATAATGTTGGGTGGTCTACACATAGAAATGGTCATGTTGACTATTTAGTAGGATCTTGATAGATCAATGTTCTGACACAAGCTGTTATTGCTTCATCAGGTCTTTTTTAAAGGCAACACATGTAACAAGGACAATATATGCCATCAAAGCTCAAACAAAATGCGTTCTTACTCACCTTGACATCCAAGAATGATAAAACCAAAGATACATGACAAAAATGGTTTAGATACAATCATATATATGGAGCTCATAGGTCTCCTTTTCATCAGATCACAACATGAGGACAATGTTCTATTGTACAATGTATGTAAAAGCCTAAAGGCACTGGTCCATGGGTTTTTGCATTAGACTACCACAATTATGCCGGGTGATTAAAAGTACACATCAGAGACATGAACGATTTTCAAGAACCCATTTTTGGCGAGTTTCAATTCCATTGTCATTACGTCATTCATGAACAACTGAAATATTTTCGGGCATGGTAATTGACCACGCACATGAGAAGAATAATGAAGTCAAAGTCAAGGGCACTGTTGGGGAAGTTGGTTTAACTGAATATCCTTGTGGATGATCTTAGGGCCTGAACAAGCATGGTTATTGAGGGAGTTTGTAGAAGACTGTCTCACAAAAGAAAGAAAGTGCATAACATATATCATCACAAAGAAGAATTTTCCTTGCATTTCTGCAGGTTGAAGGACTATGCTGTTAATCCGACTGTCAGAGAGGATGTGACACAATATGTGGTTGTAAAAAAGCATGATAGAAGTGCACTGAATTGTGCAGCTATTACTGCGAAAGGTAAATTAGTAGTGCATCTATACTGATATGTTGTTCAATACGGGCTTATTACAAATGTTTTTTTCTAAAAAATCTATGTCACGTATCTGGTTTTAGTTCAGTACTAGTGTATCTACAATATACTGATCGTTTCTATTATTCCACTTGTTCTTTACTTGAAACTTTCTATATTTTTTTTCACAATTCTAAACAAGAATGTGAATGTGAAGAAGCTGAGATATGGGTTGTTACCGATTTTTTCATCTTGGAATCCAAGATTGCCGCCATAATATGTTTAGCGGAAGTGGATGCTATTAAAAAGGTAATGCATTGCGGAGTACATGGATTTGGTACTTTTGTCCAGAATGTCAATATCATCTTGCTAAGCCACCTGACTAATATGGGGGCTAGCCATCTTGAATACTAGTTAAATAGACGCGTTTTTCAGAATCCTACAAATCAGGAAATGACAAACTTTCACAGCCAAACGATCCATTGGGGGTAATATTAAGCCAATCTAATTACACAAAGCACACTTTCCTGGGGTATTTGAAACAAAAATTGTCGTTCCAACTCAGCAGCCAATCAGCGATGGCCTTATATTTCCATGACAATTTCAGTCCTTAAATGTAATTAATTATTGGGTTTTCATTATATTTTCTTAAAATATCAAAGTTTGCATGCAATGACTGTTTTAACCATGTGGTTATATAACAAAACACAAACACTTTTACTATGTCCTAGATCATTGACACGTAAAATTAGTCATGTCATGAAACGAGTACAGGAAGAGCCAAGTTTGACGCTCATAATCATTCTAATTTCAATACTAAACACAGCGACCTTGAGGTTTGACGCGCAAATCGGGTGTTTGTGATTCGCGTTTGCAACATGCCCCCCCCCCCTGTAATTATATAACAGACATTCATAAACGCTTCTGTAATTTCGACGTTTGACCAAAAAATGTGACAAGCTATTTTGAATTGTATGGATAATTTGTGTGCCAATTTTGAAGGCACTGGTTATCTGAATCTATGGAAACACACACTTATACTATTTGTAGATTTGGATATTCCCATCTATTTGACTGATTGTTTATTGTATCAGCGCCTTTAATCCTCATATGTTGGAATTGTTGCGCTTAATAAAATAAAGTTCATATAATTAATTTTACATTATATTTCACGAGCATCGCGTTTTTTTTGATCGTGTTCATCACTTACATCGATGAAAGCCGCTATTTTATTTCAGTTTGTTTGTGTCATGTATCTGATCCGCTATGTCACCAGACACACTATAAAGAGAGGTATGTGAGTCGTTAATCAGAAGAGATCTCGTTGAAATCTCGTTTTAAGATGTACGTACTGATAAAAAACGATAGAAATTTATCACTAACAAAATTAAACTTATGATATATATATATGAACTTAAATAAATAAATAAATAAATAAATAAATAAATATATATATATATATATATATATATATATATATATATATATATATAATTCGTTTAAAAGATTCCTCTCATTAGTAAATAGCGCCCTCACTCAACAATATTTAGAATGAGTGGTTGGTCAAAAGTTTGATGAGTCAGGTGCATCTATTGGCTAAGCTTGTTGTACATAGATGCAAATGAGTATAGGAACCATTAATGCTGTAGGGTGTACTGGGAGAGGTGGAGGATTTCATGTTTGTAATGACTGGTTGTAATGCGGTATCTCGTTGTTTTCT